CAGATCACGATTTTATTAGTATTAATAAAGTGCAATAGTTAGTTTCCGAAAAATAAGGAGGTGTCACTTTAGGAGACTTATGTCAGTATTGGCGACTTTCCTCTACTTTTCGGAATATATGTTGAATATATTCACGAATACGTGTGGTTTCCAAATTTTTCTTTATCCATGGAAGAACGATCAAGAATCGAAATATATAAAATGCATCAGACGGCCTAATTAACAGAGTTTACCTTTTCAGTCCGAAATCCCGGTAATGTCATTCCGCACTCGCATCACTTTGTGGATGAATTTACTATGTGCGAGGCGGCGGCATTGGAACTTGGATGCGTGGTGAACGACATAAGGCACGTTATAGTCTGCGGCCATAGCGATTGTAAGGCGATGAATCTGCTCTACGCTTTACGGGACAAGGAGTTCGCGTCTCAAGTGCGTTTCCCTTGCGCGGTTGCGTTTCCCGATTAAAAATTCGTCCACAAATTCTTTTTTTTTCTCGCGTCCCGTTTTCGCACATTTTCGTAAGCGCGCGATAATGCCATCCGAATTTTAGACGAACAGAAGAATGTCACCGCTGAGAGCGTGGCTGTATGCGCACGCCAGCAGCAGCTTAACGAAGTTTCAGCATTTCGAAATCACCGGTTTTCGTGAGCCGATTCTCTTCCAGGGCGAGATGTCATTACGAAAATTTGTCGCCTACATCGACCCGGAGGATAAATTCGCCATTGAAGATAAGCTGTCGCAAGTCAGTACACAGATCGAACAGAACGCCACGAGAATAACCGATCATCCATCTCGTTACATTTGTGGAACTTGTTTTGTTGCAGATCAATACTTTGCAGCAACTCCAAAATATCTCGTCTTACGGATTTTTAAAGAAGCGTCTGGAAAGGCACGATTTGCACATCCACGCACTATGGTTCGACATTTACACTGGCGATATTTATTACTTTAGCCGAGCCAACAAGAGATTTATAGAGATAAACGAAACAACAGAACCGCTTTTGCTTAAAGAAATTAATAAATATTACTCCTGAAACCTTTTTTCCAGATAATTGCGTATTTATAATCCAACATATGGAATGTCGCCAGGTATAAGACCGCGTAAAATAATCGTGTATTTTTGTATACTAAACTTCAAAAGATTTAAGATCCGTTTATGTACCTTTGAGAAGACTTGTTACTGATAATAAGTTAATCTTTATTAGTCATCACTCTCTGTTGCAGAGCGAGCAATACGTGTTTTATCAAAAATGTTACATGTTTTATCAAAGATGTTTCAGAGATGTTTAGGTTTTTTAGCAAAAAAATACATTCTTTAATTTATTATATAATTATATATATATCTATTTTTATATACATATACATATAATATATTTACAATTTATTTAATATAATATACTAGTTAATAATAAGTTAATCTAAATTGCTGTATGAATAAATCAAATAAGTAAGAAAAAGTCAATATAAAATCGAGGCTAAATCTAAGATGGCTAATAATATTTTTATACGTAAATTTTAAATACATTTTACAATCATATAAATTATGCGCCGCTTACTGTCAGACTTGAAGCGCAATCATAAACTGAAACTGAAATAATATCATAATTAATTTGATAATGATGCTACCCACATAGCACAAAGCTCCGATTAAGTTCCCAAGGAGTTTATTTTGCTAAGCTCCGCATAAATTGAAACTTCTGCATAATTTTCATTCTTATTAAGATTTATTTTTCACAATAAATTCTTTTTTCTATAGTATTAGCATCTTTGTCAAATGGACGATGAATTTAATTGTGATATTATTACTTCAGCTTTAGTTTATAATTGCGTTTTAAGTCTGACAGTAAGCGACGCACAGTTCATATAACTGAAAGATGTATTTAGAATTAACACATAATAATATTATTAGGCACTGAGATCTAACTTCGATCATATTAGCCCTTTCCTTACTTATTTAATATTGATCGATATTTAATGTGTGGCGAAATATAAAGATATTTGCATTATGGAAAGTAAATTTTGTTATTTATTTTTAGTCTTTCTTCCTGATTTTATATATTTGTAATTTTATAGTGGAGTCAACAAAT